AGGCCGGCCTCCGAGAGCCACGGGAACTTGTGTTTCAGGTTGTTGTAGGGCTGCTTCCTCAGACTGTACTGGCTCACCAGCGGCAGCTGGGAGAAGCCCTGTGTGGGGGAGTGGCAGCTGCAGGCTGGCGGCCGGCAGGGGGCAGGAGAGGGCAGGGCCGGGCCGGCACTCACCGGCCAGATGTTCTCACTGGGTGTCCCCAGCAGCTGTACGATCAGGTCCACCTGGTGGATCTCGGAAGCGCCGGGCAGAAGGGGCTTATGGGCCAGCAGCTCGGCCAGGATGCAGCCCACGGCCCTGCAGAGGAGCATGGGGCCGTGCCTCAGCTCCTCCGGCCCCGCAGAGAACCACTCCGCCGGGCCCCGGCCCCCAGGTGCTGGGGTCAGAGGACGGGGGCAGAGCTGGGAGGAGGCCACGACGGGAAGGGCAGGTGACCACTGGGTCCTCCCCCCGGGCCACGTGAGCTGGCACCAGCAGGCCTCTCTGAGTGGCCACGAGGGCGGGTCCTCAGTGACGGGGGCCGTGAACGCCGAAGCCGTCTTACACTGCCTCTCGGGACCCCAGGCGCAGGCCCACCTTCCTGGGAGTTGGGAGGCTGGTGAGACCCCAGCCCCACCCCTGCCCCGCCAGCTCCCACAAGACCGCCCCGCCCTTCCCAAGGCCCTGGGCGCATCCACCCCTCACCACATGTCGATGCTGGTGGTCTGCGTGGTGGTGCCCAGCAGCAGTTCAGGGGCTCGGTACCTGTGAACAGGAGCCCCCACCTTGGGTCTGGTAGTTCCTCTCCTCCGGCCCGGCCTCCGCGAGGCACTGTGGCTCTGCACCAGCCCACCCGCCGGCCACCACCGCCCCTGACAGCCGGTCAGCCTGGACGATGGAACGTGAAGCCCAGCTCGGCTGTCCCTTCCACTAAACCCGACAAACACGATAGCACACGAGGCAGCAGCTGCTGTCACTGGAGGGCTCCCGTGTGCAGCAGTGTCCTGTGCTGGCCCGTTCTATACAGGTCGGGGCTGAGTGACACATGGCAGAAAGCATCCTGCCCTAAAGCACAACCCCGTTCTTCAAAATGTCCTCCCGTCGGTGAAGCCACCGCCCCTTCCGAGCAGCTCAGAGCCAGGCTGGGGGTCTGGCTGCCGCAGGGCAGAGCAGCGCCCCCATCTGGACGGGGCAGGTCCTTCCCGGTGACAGCCCTGCTCTGCCTCAGGAGCCATCCACACCCAGCCTCTGAGTGTGTGCAGCCCCAAAGCTTAGAAACCTCCAAGGTCCTCGTGCAGCTTCAGCATGACCCCCCCACTTCCCATGGTCCCCAGGGACTCACCAGAGGGTGACCACCTTGGGGGTCATTGGCTTCACCGGGATGCCATAGGCCCGGGCCAGGCCGAAATCCGCTGGACAGACGGGAGAGAGAGTGTCACCCAGTTTCCACTGACGTTTGCAACCAGCTTGTAGCGTGCAGGGTGCTTGTCGGGACGGGGCCTGCGGCCCCGTCGAGGTGGCACTCATGGAGGCCCCCACCAAAGAGCCAGCACCTGCACCCACCTGTCTTCACGCAGCCCTTATCCGTCATGAGCAAGTTGGAGACCTTCAGATCCCTGTGACAAAAAGAGAACATCAGTGCTTTCCAGGAAACTGCGTGGGATAAGAGGCTGTCACCGTCGCAGTGACGCTTAGAACATTTCCCCATACGTCTCCTCCTATTTGCACTTTTTTATTTTTTTAATTTTATGTGGACCATTTTTAAAGTCTTTACTGAATTTGTTACAATATTGCTTCTGTTTTTTTTTTTATTGCGGTACGTGGGCCTCTCACTGCTGTGGCCTCTCCCGTTGCAGAGCACAGGCTCCGGACGCGCAGGCTCAGCGGCCATGGCTCACGGGCCCAGCCACTCTGCGGCACGTGGGATCTTCCCGGACAGGGGCACGAACCCACATCCCATGCATCGGCAGGCAGACCCCCAACCACTGCGCCGCCAGGGAAGCCCTACTGCTTCTTTTTTATGCTTTGGATTTTCTGGCCGCAAGGCATGCGGGATCGTAGCTCCCCAACCAGCGATCGAACCCGCACCCCCTGCATTGGAAGACAAAGTCTAAACCACTGGACCGCCACGGAAGTCCCTGCACTTCTTAAAAATAAGGATGGCAGGCAGTGCAAGACAATTTGGCAGCTGGGAACACCAGAGAGAGCTCTCAGTAACTTTCTGAGAAACTGGCAGAGGCGGCCTTGAGCCCAGGTCTGGCTTCCAGGGCTGTGTCTGATCCCCACCCAGGCCATGCGAGCCACCAAGCTGCTGCCTGCAAGGTCCTGCTGAGGCCTGCGAGACCCTCCCCTCTGCCCCTCCAGTCTCTGCCCTTCCTGGCCTGCCTTCCAGTAAGGCTCTCTCCAAGGCAGCACTTCTCAGAGCCTGACTCGCTCACACCATCGGCCCCCCCAGAGGAGAAAACAGGTATTATCTGGTCCTGGACCATCCGCCAGGAGCAGTCACAGAACCTCTACTGCACCGAGGCTGTGCCTGCTCCTCTCCTGGATACTCGGCAACGTCAACTGGCGCTGGGTCAGTGCTGGCAGTCACACTTCCCCCATGTCACAAACCAGCACTCCTCTGGAAAAATGTCTCCTGAGGCCCCGCCCCCTTCCAGGCCCGTGGACCCCACCCACCTGTGGATGATGAAGTTCCGGTGCAAGTACTGGAGGCCCCGGAGCACCTGCAGCACGATGCACTTGACCTGTAGAGGGCCAGGATGCAGGGTCAGGGCAGCCTGCGTCTGCCACAGGGTGCCGAGCAAGGACTTGGGAAGCCCGCCACCAGAGCCCGCAGCCTCAAACCTGGGCCTCAGAGAAGGGCGTCGGCATGTTCTCCAGAAGGCTGGCCAGGTCCTGCTCACAGTAACCCATCACCAGGAAGATGCTGAAAGAAGAGG